GGAATACTACATAATTTAGCTTGGACTATACTACTAAAAAGGTGTATGATTCACCTTTATTTAAGATGTGTTGATAGTTTAAATTAAATTTGAGAAGGGTATGGCGAACTCGAAGTTGTAGTCCACTCCAACCAAAATTATAACGCCTTTTGGGGGGCTTGGCTAAGCGCTTAAAGGAATAAAGTAGAACCCATCAATCTCACCCAAGCATGCAATACATTTACATTTCCTTTGCTTCCTTAACTTTTAATCATTATCAGCTTCAATACTTTTTAAACTTTCAAGCGCACACTTCTTGGATGATGCTGGAAAAAACGGTTTTGAATATCCAAGGCTGAAGGTTATTATATACGAAAAAATATTGTGTTAATAGACTAGTCTCTTGCTTTACAAGCGTGACAGCTTACTTCCATTATGTGTAATGGTGCATGTGATGAAGAGGTTTGAAGATCGACCCTACCAGAATATGATTGCCGTCGCGTCTTATTCCCTTTTCGTATGGTTTCAATAAAGGGTTCTGACTAACAGTGTCATCTAGACAATCCCTATGGATCCGATCAAAATGTGCTGAACCATTTCATCGGGCCAGTATGATATTCTTAAAAATAATTCAAGGAAACTATACGCATGACCCAGTTTCTAATCCCTTTGATGAGGCTATTGAGTCTTTGAGACGGAATCGAAACTGCAGTCTATCCAGTCCAATCCAGCCGTAATGAGACATCATTTTAGGGGCAAAGCTAACCTCCTTCATAGGTCCTGGGCTGACAGGTTGTTAGTCACAGATTACATGATAACTCACTCTCAACAGCCCATATACCCAAATGAATATTTGTTGCTCATGTAAAAGTGGAGAGATGGTTTGATTTCAGTTGTCACATACGTTGGAGCCATGTGATCTTGGGGTTGTGGCGCAAGTTCGAGTCCTGTCTGAAGTGATATGATCCATCCCGTGGGGCTATCTGCTCCAAATTTAGCGACATGTGATAGCCTATTTGTTTCTGTTTCCCGCTAACTTTCAGAGCGTTTTGGCGTATGCATAAGAAAAATGTACGCAAGTTTACTACCGAAAATAAGGGGATATTACCACATTCGCTTGCATGTTTAGCATTATTAGAATCAGTCTACTCAGCTTAATCGGACGCTAGAATTATCTGTGATAGAAGATTTTATTATATTAGGCTTCTATCTTGAATTCTAGCATTTTTTAAATCGCTACACACTGTCCAAGCCATGATGGATTGTGCTTACACTTTGTTACATCCGCATAATCTGTAACAAGTTTTCAGAAGTTGGGGGGCTATTTTTTCGAAGACAGACTTTCTGTGCATACACACAAGCGCATACACCAACAAGCGCGACTCACTTCAAACTTCACCAACACAGCCTACCATCTGACACTTCGAGCTCGATCTCGCTCTCCCCATCGTCTGGCCTTGGCCAGCCAATTCGTTGCCTTGGCCCGCCATTTCGTTGCCTTATTCTTGGGCTGGAGCTCACGATTTGGCAACCAATCTGTCCGCATCCCCAGCATCAATCTCGCCTCTGCCGGAGGCTGACTGCCGAAGCGATTAAAGTCTGATTCCCGTGGGTGAGGTGAGCCGGAAGAGGAGGCCGTTTTACTACCATTCCAGACTCGCCCGAGGCAAAGGTGTGTCATCAGCACCGTCTCGACTTTTCTGCGATAAAGAGAAGACGCTTAAAGGAAGAACGTGTGGAGTGATTGGGCGAACATGTAGGTCAAACATGCTGTTCACGATGCCGTTGTTCTAGTCAATTTGTGCTTGCGCCCAAAGCAATGAAGTAGAATCCATCAATCACACCCAAGCATGCAATAAATTCACTTTTCCTTTGTTTACTTAAGATTTAATTATCATCAGCTTCAATACTTTTTAACCATTCAAATGCACATTTCTTGGATGATATTGGGAAAAACGGTTTTGGATATCCATGGCTGAAGATTGGTATATAGTAAAAAATCTCATTGTGTTTTTTGGGCAATCTTTTGTTTCACAGGTGTGACAGTTTACTTCCATTATGGGTAAGAGTACGTGTGATAAAGAGATTTGAAGGTCGATCCCACCAAGAGCTGACTGCGGCCTCTTCTTGGTCTTATTCACCTGATTTTACTTCAGGTTTCTGGTTGGCAGGGCCATTGAGACAATCCCTTTTGGGTCAGGCGAAAACGTGCTAAGCCATTTCAACAGACCTAGATATAATTATTACAAATAAGTCATGATAATGTGCCAATAAAAATGATAATTTTAGCATATTTATATTTCCCAAAAAATCTTTCTGAGGAATTATCTTCTTTGAGGTACTGACTGATCTGGAAGGTTAGATGGTCAGGATGCCTATAACTTATCCAGTCTCGCAGAATTATGGAAAAGTCGTAGTCTTGCCAATGAATCATCA